CATCTGCAGTTTGCAAACCTGTGTCACTAGGTCACTGAACCGATCCTGGTCATCGACGGCCGAAACGGTTTATGGCAGGGTATCGCCCAGTTCGCGGGTGATCGCAGGTATACCTCACCACCGAAGTTAGGGGTTGTAACGTCAAGTGCGTCCTGGTTATTCCTCCGAATACGTACTCACTTCACTGCACGACCACTAACACCGATCACCCGACACAATCACTTAATGTATTTTTAATCCAACGTGTTGTTACTACGTTAGGAAAATTCGTGGCCCCGGAAAGAGCCGATTGTTTTCAATTTTTCAGATGTTTTACGTAACCAAACACTTGCACAGCAACACCCGCATATCCGTTATTCTGTACGTACCACCATAACATTGCGTAATACTCCCGTGAACTGAACATCTCTGTCGCCCGATTGCTAACCGACTGACATAATTTTTCCGAAAGGGCTTCCTTTACCCCCAAATAATTTCCCATCGTTACATTGTGAGTTCACTCCCACCACGACAAGGTTTAGGTAAAACGAAACCAACGGTTCTAGGATAACACGTGCTTTGCAGAAATGGAAGGAACGAACCGTCGCGCAGTTTCACCAAGGCGCGTAGCCAGTTAATTTATTGCCAGGGTACCTACTCCTTCAAGATAGGAAAGAGACATCACGTGCATCGGCTTGAGAATGTCCGAAATAAAGAGGACCACCAACGCGCCCGTTGAAGCCGGAAAGCACAATGTACATTGTTTTCCTCGAGGAGCAGGGAAAAAATTTTACCGACACGTGTAAGTTGACGCTGCTTGGCCCCGGACGACCACCATTGTAGAGGCCGGAGCGGAATTTTCGGTTATTTGTGGCTCAAAATCTTCGGCCTCGTAGCAACCGTGATCTCACAACAGAATTGACAATCGAAAATTTTATTACAACTCTGTGAAATTGTAGTTCTCATGAAAACATTTCATACGTATTTTTTTGTAGTATTCCGTCAAATATCTCTGAAATTATTAGAAATATAAAAACCGTATTCGTTAAATTCTTTTCCGTAAAATAAGCCTATCGGTAGGGTGATGCGGTTCATATTAACGTAATAGTAACCCATTGAAGACAGCGGTGCGCCCCGGTTCAGGTAAAAGAATCGGGCGCTCCACTATTACAGTCGACTGATGGTATCGCTAACGCTCCAGACTATTTCAATGAAATTAAAAGCTATATCAAAGAGTCAATGATTTACGGAAAAGAGTTCAACGAATACGGTAGTATTTTTTTAGGATTTACCTGCAGCGCGCACTGTCAGGAGTCGGCGAAAGATTGTTTAAAGAAAGGGATTATTCTGGAATTCAATGATATGGCTACATTCAATATTAAAACAAACACAATATTGCAAATTGTACGGTTTTTATATTTCTAATAAATTCCGAGACATTTGACGGAATATTAAAAAAACAAGGCCGCAGAAATTGAGCCATAAAGAACCGAAAATTTCACTCCGGCCTCTACAAGGGTGGTCGGCCAGGGTCTCTTCATTTCGGACATTTTCAAGCCGATGCACGTGACGTCTGTTTTCTATCTCGAAGTAGTGGGTACCCTGGCAATAAATTAACAGGCTACGGCGCCTTGGAGAAACTGCGCGACGGTTCTTCCCTTGCACTTTTTCAAAGCACGTGTTCTCCTAGAACCGTTGGTTTCGTTTTACCTAAATCTTGTCGTGGTGGGAGTGAACTCACAATGTAACGATTGGAAACTACTTGGGGGTAGAGGAAAAATTCTGTCAGTCGATTCTGACAGCAATCGGGCGACAGAGATGGTCAGTTCACGGGAGTATTACGGAATGTTATGGTGGTACGTACACAATAACGGATATGCGGGTGTTGGTGTGCAAGTGTTTGGTTATGTAAAACATCTGAACAATTGAAAACAATCGGCCCTTACCGGGGCCACGAATTTTTCTAACGTAGTAACAACACGTTGGATTAAAAATACATTAAGTGATTGTGTCGGGCGATCAGTGTTAGTGCAGTGCAGTGAAGTGAATACATATTCGATGGATTAACCCGGCGGCACTTGACGTTGCAACTCTTAACGTCGGCTGGTGTCGCATACCTGCGATCACCAGTGGCATGGACTCTACCCTGCCATAAACCATTTCGTCCGTCGATGCCCAGGCTCGGTACACTGACCTATTGACGCAGGTTTCTACGCTGCAGGTGAATTTCCGTAAGGGTGAGTTCTGTTCAGTTTATTGGTCATTATTGTTTTATTAATTTCGCCGAACTGCAATCACTTCTCGTTTATTCTCTGTTACAATACCTTTTCGTTCTCACGTTATTAGAAAAGGAAATTTACAAATTCGTAAAAAGGAATTTACAAAAATGTAAATATGCATTCGTCTTTTTACGTTACACGTAATTTGCCTACATTTACGTTCCATTCATTAATCTCTTTAAATAACAAAGGGCAGATGATAAAAAGTATGATTTTATTTGTTACGTCTTGTTTATTTGCTATTATTATACGCGGTTTCCTGCGATGCATGGTGACCTACTTGTTCGGAG